ATGTTTACACTCTGCCTGTTGACGTCACAAACAGGAAGTGGTTACCTGCGGGCTGGTGGCTGTTAGGCGCTCTCTGCTGAGGAGGAACTCGAGGTCTGGATGGAGGAAGAGACGACTGCAGAGGAAGACACAACTCTGATTATTGATCATTGATCAATAAGATTATTATCATTATATAACGGAAACGTTTCAACGACAACATAAAGAACTTGTTATAGTTCGTCAATAAAGACTTTTGTCCTCCATTTTCACAACTTTCTTTGAACAAATGTTGAGAATTTAACTTATTTTGATAATTTTTCTCTATAATTGAACCTATAAAACAAATATGTTTGTATATTTTCACACAGTATTTGTTGCTTTTACCTTCTGATGCAGGTTCCTGCTGGTCCAGTCGGCCGTGTAGGCCTCAGTGTAGGCGTCCAGGATGTGGTAGAGGTCGTAGCACTCCGACGGCGGCTCCACTTCGCCGTTCAAAATAGCCGACGCCCGGATGTCCTGTGAGTAGAACCTGCAGCCACATACGCACGGACACATTTAATCAGTATTATTATTATCTGTGAACAAAGACACACTGACCGGAGGTGGGCAGGTGGACGGTCGCTGTACGTACTTGCGGTTGGTTTCTTTGCGTTCGATCAGGTACGATCCCTCCAGAGAAATACCGGCAAACAATCCTCTGGATCTGCAGTAGGTGAAAACCGCCGCCGTGCTGCGAAGAGCCACGTCCGCCTCCACGTTCCTGGAAGAGAGAGAGCCGTTAACTCTGCACCAGGTACTTCCTTACTCACACATTTATGCTCTGTGGCGTCCCACAAGGCAGCATTCTGGGTCCTCTGCCGTTCTCTGGTTATAAAGCTAAAACCTCGTCTCTCTGGAGTTAATTCAACGTGTTTCTGTCCGTAAATATTCTCAGATAAATGTTGAAGTTCTCATTTCAGACACAGATACATAATATAACTAGCTATTCTGATGTCGGCGTTTGCCTGCGAGTCAAATTCCTGGCCACGCCCACTCACACACACCTGCACGCCAAAACCTGTCGAACTGCCCTGAATCGACACTGACCTCCTTATTTCTAAAATTAACCTCACACACATAAATCACAACCATGACAGTAAATCCGACATTTAACAGACGTTGAATTAGTCTCTGCTTCAGGCCCCAAAACACAACTGTTATCAAACGCCTCATAAATCGCAAAGCTGTAATTTACATCAACAGTAACGATTAGAGGCAATTAAGAGACAGACAGATGGAGCGCGGGTGCAAGCGCTCACCTGCCCATTGGTCCCACAGCAACGGTGCAGTTCCCGCCAAGCGTCAGGTTCCCGCCTTTTGTGAATGCCTCGATGGCCCGCCGCTGGTTCAGGATGATCACCAGGTCCGACACCTGAAGGCGTCACAAAGATAAACGTTTATTTATTCAGGTCTGTGGTCGTCTCTACGACGATGCGTTCGAGGACAATCAGAAATCTTAAGTTCAACAGCAACACGAAGGCGTCGGCCTCGCAGTAGAGTTGTTATTCATACTACGGGGGGAAAACAAACAATAATTTATCTACACTGTAAAAAATTTCTTTAAAGTCAAACTGGTTTCTGTATCAGTAAAACTCTCACGGCAAAACTTTTATTTATACGACATTTTAAAGGAATTTATATGAAATAAAGCTGTTTGTTTATATTATATATGACTGTAAATTACACAGAAAAAACTTTTACTTATTCAGTAAAATATATAAATATATATAATATAATATATAACATCCTCTTACCGTAATAGTAGAAAAAGTTCTACAGTATTTATTACGGTAAAGTTCTGATATCCACAGCTGACAGTTTTTAAAAAAATCTAATTTATCTAATAAAATAAAAAAACAAAATAAAGTAAAATAAAAT